CGTCTGCACGAGAACGCCGCGCAGTGCCGGGCTCACCAGAGCAGCCTCCCGCCTGGCCTCCTCTCTCCAGCGACCTGCCAGGCTCCCGGCAGAGCTCCGTGTGCTGCACCTTCCAGAAAGCAAGAGCCTCGCTCTGTGCTCTAGAGCCAGTTGTCTTGTTTTCTCTACAGTTCTAGTAAAGCTGGTTCTCCTCCTGTAGTCCACACTGTGGGTGTGAGCAGGTGTGAGCAGGGGAGGAAGGGAGGGAAGACTGTGGGCAGGTGTGAGCAGGTGTGAGCAGGGGAGCAAGGGAGGGAGGACCGCAGGCAGGTGTGAGCAGGGGAGGGAGGGAGGACCGCGGGCAGGTGTGAGCAGGTGTGAGTAGTGGAGGGAGGGAGGACCACGGGCAGGTGTGAGTAGTGGAGGGAGGGAGGACCACGGGCAGGTGTGAGCAGGTGTGAGCAGTGGAGGGAGGGAGGACCGTGGGCAGGTGTGCAGGTGTGAGTAGTGGAGGGAGGGAGGACCGCGGGCAGGTGTGAGCAGGTGTGAGCAGTGGAGGGAGGGAGGACCGCGGGCAGGTGTGAGCAGGTGTGAGTAGTGGAGGGAGGGAGGACCACGGGCAGGTGTGAGCAGGTGTGAGCAGTGGAGGGAGGGAGGGAGGACCGCGGGGAGGTGTGCAGGTGTGAGTAGGGGAGGGAGGGAGGACCGTGGGCAGGTGTGAGCAGGTGTGAGCAGGGGAGGAAGGGAGGGAGGACCGCGGGCAGGTGTGAGTAGTGGAGGGAGGGAGAACCGTGGGTGGGTGTGAGCAGGTGTGAGTAGTGGAGGGAGGGAGAACCACGGGTAGATGTGAGCAGGTGTGAGTAGTGGAGGGAGGGAGGACCGCGGGCAGGTGTGCAGGTGTGAGCAGGGGAGGGAGGGAGGACCGCGGGCAGGTGTGAGCAGGTGTGAGCAGGTGTGAGCACGGGAGGAGGGAGGGAGGACCGCGGGCAGGTGTGAGCAGGTGTGAGCCGGTGTGAGCAGGGGAGGGAAGGAGGACCGCGGGCAGGTGTGAGCAGGTGTGAGCAGGGGAGGGAGGGAGGACCGCGGGCAGGTGTGAGCAGGTGTGAGCAGGGGAGGGAGGGAGGGAGGACCGTGGGCAGGTGTGAGCACGGGAGGAGGGAGGGAGGACCGTGGGCAGGGCTCGCTCCTCTGGAGAATCTGCGTCTCTCAGGGCCTTGTCCTGGCTGCCTCCCGAGCCCGGGTGCCCCGGAGCCGAGTGCTCCTGGACCAGGGCTGTCGTGATCTGCACCACTTTGTCTGTGTAAAGCAAATTAGGGGAGGCCACGAGGCCCAAGGCTTTTGTGGATCGTTATGAAAAAGGGGGTCTGAGGGCTCTGACTGGGCGCCGGCTCGGGCGCCGGCTCGGGCGCCGGCTCGGGCGCACCTTTCCTTCTCTTTCGCCCCCGCGGCCCTCGGCCTCTGAGCGCCGCAGCAGCGTCCAGTTTCACGCCACAGCAGCACAAGAGGATGCCCCGGTGAGTGCCAGCTTCCTGACACAGCGCGTACAGAGCAGGGCAGGCGGGCGGCTCGTTGGGTAAGGCGCATCCTCCCTCTGCCCAGGCGGCGGCCGGCCGGGCAGTCGCCTCCTGCCGGGTTTCAGCCGGTGCTAGACTGTCCACACCGTGGCGCGTCGTTCTGGGGAAAATATCCCATGACGTGGCACTGGCTTCGCAGGCTAGTCTCGGATATCCAAATCATCCCGAGACCAGCTGAGAGCAGGAAGGTGCCTTCACACGCGCCCTCTGTGACACGCGAGCCGGGCTTCCTGAGGGGGTCCCCCGCCGTCCCAGATCTGGGCGCCTCCTATTTCCCAGTCATGGGATGAGCGCCGTCCTCCAGTCATTTGTAATCCATGAAGGAGAGCCCGTGGTAATCTGATTCTAACCCACATTTCAATGGGCAGCGTATGTTCAGTAAGTATCTTTAGATGGGCTGAATTATTTTCAAACAAGTGTGGCAGTGCCGGCCATGGAAGCTAGTCGAGGGCAGATGGAATCGCGCCATCGCGTTGGGGCCAGCCTGGCCTCAGAGTAGATCAACCCACCCACCCTCGGCAGCGGACCAGGCGCCTGTGGCCGAACATGCCCAGGTGTGATTTCTTGTTTTTATGAAGGTAAATCAGTTACCCACTTCATTGTGAGGTTTCCAAAGATGTGTATGATGCACTTGAATAAAATCCTTCACCTCTGTCGAGCTCTTCCACTTTCTAGATTCTTTTTCTTTTTGGTGGTGGTAGGATTTGAACTTACAGCCTCGTCCTTGCTGGGCAGCCGCTCCCTGCCTGGACGCTTTTGTGGGTTTCATTATGTGATGTTCGTTGCATACATGTAGTTGCTCTTGGTTGCAGAGGACAGCGTGTTTTCCTCTCGTTTCCCCTGGTCCCTAGCGCTCTGACTGAGTTAGGACTGGATGTCGTTTGGAAAGAGTGCAATCTCGCCTCTGCCTGGTCTGGACCTTGGCTTCCTGACGGCTCTGTTCTCGCCTCTGCCTGGTTCTCGGCCCCCGCTCCCCGGGAGCAGGTCCGCGCCTCTGCCCGGGCCTCCTCGCGGCGCTGTGCCCGGTGGCAGGCCGGGCCCACGGGCCTCTCAGGAGGAGGCCGTGTGCTTCAGTGCTCTCTGGCGGGACGTTGGAGCCAATCGAAGCGTTCCTGGCGCCGGATGCCATGTGGAGTGTGTGCCGAGTGACGCACGGGCGCATGCCCTGGTGCCCAAGCGTGCCTCGCTGTCAGTACGGGCACACCAGCGCGTCCGACAGCGTGACTTGTGCAGCGTTGGGTTAACATGGTGGACCACCGTGCAGCCCCACAGCAGCTCTGAAAGCAGCCAGGGTAGCATGGACAAAACACCTGAAAGATGCAGAGAGGTTAAAGATTAGAGGTGGCGGGTCGGAGCACTTGAGAGCAGCAGGCAAACAGGAGCGAAGCATGACTTAGGGTTCAACAGCCATCACTAACACGGGGAGAGCGAAGGGTCTTATTATTTTACCTAAAAGTAAGATACGGATTCAACTGTCATCTAAGACACATGGGAAAGGTGGGCACCACTTCTGAAACCACCACACAGTCTACAAGAAGCTGGAGAGGAGAATAGAGACAGGAAATCTGACTGCACAACCCGGAAAACTTACGCTAGTAAAATGCTATAATGTCGGCCAGAATTTGCAGACAGACAATGGGGGAGCATAGCTTCAGAAGGCCTGATTCCGTTATTATGTAAAGCATTCCTGCAAACTGGTGAGAGAAGCACTCTAAAAGGACAGACAGACAGACAGACAGACGGGCCATGAAAGCGTTTCAGCAGGTGCGTCTGTGCCGGGAGCCCCGGCTCACCCGGGAGGCTGAGGGGGCATCTCAGCCCCAGGCCAGCCTGAGCCCAGAGGGAGGCCTGTCTCAAAAGATAAGCAAAAAGAGGATCCGGGCGCTGGTGGCTCACACCCGTCATCCTAGCTACTCGGGAGGCTGAGATCTGAGGATCGAGGTTCAAAGCCAGCCCGGAAAGGAAAGTCCGTGAGACTCTTATCTCCAATAAACCACTAGAAAACCAGAAGTGGCGCTGTGGCTCAAGTGGTAGAGCGCTAGCCTTGAGCTGAAGAGCTTAGGGACAGCGCCCAGGCCCAGAGTTCAAGCCCCACAACCAACAAAACAAAAGATAAGCAAAAAAAAAAATTAAAACTAGCAACTAACCCTATGCTAAAATATGTGAGCCAGTAAACAAAGATGTTTAATGTTTCCTAAATTTAAACCAGCAAAGAATATAAAATTTTATTTTTATGGAACTCAGTGCTAGTGAGGATGTTGTAAAAATGGTACTGTTTGGTGATGTTTTGTAAATTAGTATCTCCTTTTTGGAAAACGCTTGGCAGTCCAATATCATAACCCATAAACACATTTATAGTCTTGGACTCAGTAATTTGACTTCTGGGAATTTATCCTGAGGAAAATTAATCCAAAATACGGAAAAAATTAAAGGTCTAAGTTGGGAAACACAATACGTCTCACAGTTGGGGAACGGTTATATGTCTTGGCACGGCCGTTGTCATTGGTCATGACAGGTACAGAGTGCTTCTAGACGAATGGAAAGATGCTGGTGATTTTAGATGAAATGAAGACTTAGGAAAGATGTGTATAAAAAGACAGGAGGAGGATGGCCGGGAACGTGTTAGCGCGCTCGCCTAGCATGCACAAAGCCCTGGGGTCGACTCCTCAGCACCCCATACGCAGAGAAAGCCAGAAATGGAGCCATGGCTCAAGTGGTGGAGCATCAGCCTTGAGCAAAAGCAGCTCAGGGACAGCGCCCAGGCCCGAGTTCCGGCCCTAGGACTGGCAAAAAAAAAGAGGAAGAGGAGAAAAGCTGGCGAGTAACTTCATTGCGGACAATGCTCGTTCCGTAGGGTCTTCCCCAGGTCCATGCTGACTTCCAGGGTCCCAGCCAGCTCTGTCTGAGCCCCCCAAGTTCCTCCAGAGAGCCCTCCCATCCCACGAGCCCCACGAGAGCCCCCTCCCCACCCCCCATAGCGCTCCCCGCATTTCCAGTACGTCCACGGCCCCTCCCTTCCCTCCTCCCCCTCCCCCTCCCCCCAGGAGTCCCCACGGAGGTGAGCCTGGCCCCCCTCCCCC